AAAAAAAAAAAAAGCTTTGTTGAATTATCAACCACCACCAAAATATATTTTGCTCAAACTGAAAGCAGAATAGATTCTGTATGAGAACATGATGGAAAAACAAAGAAATCCACATTTTCAAGTTTCATAAGAAGAAAAGAAGAGAGAAAAACTCGACTCGAACAAGTTTCAGCCCTCTAACTAATTATCGAGATGAATCTGTACTAGTTATTCTTTATATTATTATTTTTATGAATTTGTAGTAGGTACAACATGAGGGCTCAGACATGCAGTTTTTTTTTGTTGGACAAGCCATAATTTACCATATTTAAGAGGGTAATCGGTCTGTCTATATCCGCATCCTGACTTATGGACATGTGAACTCATCAATTAATAATAAAAATACTGAAGCTTCTTTCAACAGTTACCTTTCACAGGCGAGTTTGACCAAGCAGGTGAACTTTTAGGGCTTTTCCACAAACTCCGTCTAGAAGTTGGACTTCCAGACCTGCTCAAGAATTCAGCACGTTTATTCTTATATTCCCTCACGCTGCTCCACTTTGGAGTACTTTCACGTCCAGAATATGTAAATTCCCTATTCAACACAGGACGCAACAGATTAACATTTTCGATGTGGTGGATAGAAAATGATATCTTACTGAATTATGCCACCTAACAGTAAAACACCACAGCCTATGTGCAACTTGGAAATAAGTTGCAACGAATATTTAAAATAAAAAAAAAAAAAAATCATTTTTTCAACCATTCATTTCAAAAAGAATAAAATAAAGCTCAAAACTCAAGCTAATCGTGCAATTAAAAGTAACTGTAAATTAGGTATCATAGGATATTCTGTATCGTGACAAAAGAGTCTCATGGAACGTGAATTAGATAGTGATTCATGATTACTCAGAGCAATAGGCAATTGGAAAAAGAAAGAATAGACAGTGCTTACCAGATTTTGTGCCACTTGAAAGAAGTGAGGAGAAAGTAAATCGCCAAGAGAGAAACAAGCATTATCGCTGCCAAAGGTGTATCAAGTGTACTCTGGGATTAAAGAGAAGCAGAAGTCAGAACCTCCATCAGAATAAGTCAAGAAGCAGGAAAAAAGGAAATATTTATATATCCATGAACAACACATTAAAATTTTTTAAATAAAAACAATTACTAATTAAGCAGTCCATGAAAGATGAAAATGTAACGGTGAGAGCAGAAATCAGTACAGCAACAGAAAGCAGAAAGTGACTACAAAAAGACAACTAAAGCCATCAAATGCAAGGGAAATGCAACAAGAGGATAGTAAAGACACCAAATGAGAAAAAGCGCAGATCAAGAAGCTAGAAAGTGACTACAAAAAGACAACTAAAGCCATCTGCCAATGAGGAAAGATAAAAAGGAAATGCAAGATTCAGTAATCACCTGAAAGAGAAAAGTCACAGCAATTACACGTAAAGCCCATTTCACAAATTGGGCTACACCAACATCTACACTTCCATCTTCAGCAACAACAAACTTCCGAACAAGCCAATACCCAAAAGCAGCCCCAGCAAGTACAATTCCAACTACCAAGAACACAAGCACCTGCACAAATATGAAAATTATACAGGGTAAATTGGAAAGAGTAAGAGTCATCTTGTATTCTCACTAGCCAACGGAAAAGAAAATAAATAAATAAATAAAGAAAAAAGCGGATCTTGATTCAAGATATCTGGACAAGGTATACAAGGTATATTTGAGGGCCACAAGCAACACTTTAAATGTATAAAAATGTAAATTTTCACACACACATACATATATACACACACATATACATATATATGTGTGCATGTGTGTGCGCAAATATGTACGTACTTCAGAATATGTTTCACATCCAGCTAATGAATACAAATCACAATGAAATTATAGCACCATCTGCTGATTTTTATTTTTAATTTCAGAAATTATTAACAAAAGGAAGAACATAAACAGTTTCAATCCACAAGAAAATTCTCAACAGTCAACATCAACATACCCAGTATATTCCCAAACAGGTTGGGGTCTGGGGGGTCAGTTGTACGCAGACCTTACCCTTGTAAAATACAAGGAGGCTGTTTCCATAGCGACCCAAGGTGCGTTGCGTCGTTTGATATATTTTTTCTAGAAACTTCACTAATAGAAGAAGCACTAGAATTTAATCAAATAAGAAACTAAAATTTGGTCACCGAAATTATCGTGTTGTGTAGACCCAGAACGATTTGCACTCCCAATGCAATAAGTACATAAAATACGCAGGCAAATATATATTCAAAACTGAATTTCTTTTTCATATAATAAACAAGAGATTCAGAACAAGTAACAAACAGTATCATTCTGTATCATATAAAGCTAAAAGCGCTTACTGGATTGTGCATCTCCTCACTGATCCCAAGATTGACAAGAATTGAATTGACAAACATTGAGAACCGGTTTAGCAAAAATGATCCAGCTCCAAGCTGAAATAAATTTTATCAGTACCAATCATGCATAAAGTATGAATATATACTGTACAGACAAGAAAAGATATTACAGATCTCTCAGATTATTGAGATTATAAAGAATTTAAGATAACTAACCGCTAAACCACACAGCGTGCTGTAAAGAGCACTTTTTCTGCCAGTTGGCAGCAGTTTCATTCCCTGCATGGTTATCCAAGAACAACAATGAGTTGCAACAGAACAACAAATATAAAGAATACGCATATCAAAACTATATGAACTCCTACAACAGAGACTCCTTCGCTATAGCATCATATACCCAGGCACCAAAGAGGGGTAAAAAAGACTTAAGTCTCGCAAAATATTTTACAGAGATATTAGTGGAATCCTTCTTTCCAAGGAAAATGAGGTTCCCCTCACTTACATGCACAATCAATTTTTTCCTTTAAAATTGACATTTTCCAAGGTCTTTTGTCTGGAGGGAACCAGTATCCAAATCCTTAATTTCTTTCACACACTAAAGAACTTCTCTATATGCATGCAGCGTATAGTATCAATTTGGCACTTCTATGTACCCTGATTACAACCTAAACATTCTATCATTGTCACACAGAAAACTTCTACTTCTAAGGCGTCCCAAGTTTTTGCAGAAACCTTTTACTGGCCACATATAAAACATATACATTATTCTCAAGGGCAGTCGGCCATGTTACTATTAACTACCAGCATATGCAGGGGGTGTACAGAAAGCAACCAAGCTACCAAAGCTACCTACACAAACAACAAGGCTAACACCATAGAAATTTACATTCATTAATTCAATAGTGAAAACAGTGTAAATACCTGGAATAGAATGATTATCACGACGAGACAAACTCCTATTGCCATTGAACTGCTGTAGTAAAAAGGAACCCAGCTACTAACAATTGGAGCCAAAAGCAATAATACCAACCCAATAGCCAAACAAAGTAACCGCCATTTGTGAAACTCTGTCCATAAAACAGAAAGACAGCGAGAGAGTGAGCGCAATAGTGTATGATGGATAAACAACCATACATCTGCGCGCGAAAAGACACAGACACAGACACACAAGAGAGAGTACCAACTAGGAGATACAAGGAAAGCAAACTAAAGCACAGCGAGAAATATAAAACTAACCTAATTTAACATCAACGGTTACTGAACCAGACAAGTTTTCGATAAACTTCACATCAATGTATTTGTCTTCATAAGGGGAAACTATAGAGCTCCACGCTCCACTCTGGATGCTTTCCCAGTCATCAATTTGACATTGACACAATCCAACAGAAGAATTTCTGCAGAAGATATTTAAAATAGTGGTTAGAAGGTCATATAGAAATATGCTGAAGGCTCCTTAGTAATCTACTTTAAACTGACCTGTGCAAACAAATATGAATTTTCCTGTATGATTTCTCCTGAATATCATCTGAAGGGGCTAAGGTTATCCGGTGGGCACTAGAATAGCTCCCAAGGTGAAGTCTTGATAGACCAGAGACCGCGACACGAGCACACCGCACATCTCTAGATGGACCAGGCCCCACAAGCAAAGAGGGGGTGACATTTATCAGTACTCCACTTCCTGAAAAAGTTCAACGAAGGAAAAACCGGACAAGATCCCATTAAAACAGAGTGTTACCAAAGAAATCAGAAACCCTTAGTTAAAATTAATCAACACTTCTTACAGTGCAATTGAGTAGTTTATAATTTTAACACTGCCTTCTCCTCAAAACCAATAATTTAGTAAAGAAAATAACAATTGTTACAAAACATTCCAAACTACAACTAATAGTCTAATATATTGGGCATTAACGGGGAACTAGGTTAAAATAACTAAACCTATACATACTTCACCACCTTCAAAGACCATAAAAAATATCTGGTGCATTCCCAGCAAAGATCGAAGTAAATGAAGGAGCTAGAAATACTCTAATCCTTAAGTCTATTAAATCATTTGCCAAAATTTGTGTTATTTTCTTCAGAGTAAGAAAACCATTAAAAAATAAATAAACCTAAATATCTTAAACCCCGAAAAATACAAAGCTAATAAATGGAACTCAAACGTGACAAGCAGAAACATCCAGCTTTCATTGCTACACGAAAGAACTTAAAACCCCCGAAATTCTTATTACAGCAGCTCAATTACCCCAAATTCCATGTGGCCATGACACGCTCCACAAGAAAAATGCTCAATCCGAATTACCAATTATAAAAACAAGGCAGAAGAGGGTAAACATAGTTTTACATCGCAGTATTATGCGAGGAACCGATCCCGAAACTTAGGTTAGTTCAAAGTTCCAACGTACAAAACAATTCGGACCCCTTTGCATTCAGTGAAAAGTAAAGTTACCGGCGGGTGCTGCAACGTGATCGGAGCATGAGACGACGGCAATTGCAGCCAGAAAGTAGAATATGGCGGCAGAAGTTGGACTAGCGGATAACCCCATTATTCTTCCTTCAAAACGAAGGAGAACATCAAAGGGCTTCAAAGGAGGTCGCGCGCTTGAAATTCTTTTAGCACCTATTAAATGCAGAAGTTTTTGTTTCTGGGGTTTATTTGTGACATTTGAGTTCTTTGAGGGGCTTAGATGCAAATACGCAACAAAATAATGGCGGTTGTCAAATGTCGGTTTTGGACCTTGAAGTTCCGAATCATTTATTTATTTAAAAAAACAAAAA